CCCCCAACCTCTCTACACATTTATTCTCTCTTTTCTGATGCCACTTAATGTCTTTTGGGTCACAAATCTTTCATGTAGGACTGGATGAAAGTGTCAGCCAGGTCTTCTCTGAAGAGTGTTTTAGTGGTCTTTTGTGTTTTTGTTTTGCTTTGGGTTTTTTCAGCAGCTCGAAACCAATGGCATTTAAATTCCCCTTTGCACTTCCTAGCTAATTAATTAGTTGGCTCCTTCAGGAGTGGAGGAGCAGCTGCTAGCATCTCTGCTAGATGTAGAGGGAAAGTTGTTTTTAAAAAAGAGCTACTTCAGAGACAGCTGCATTGGGAATGGTGGGAAATAAGGGCAGCTAGAGCTAAAAGACCCATTCATTTGGCACCTCCTCAAACTGATTTGTAAGCAGAGACTTAAGTCATAGGCTGTACTGAAATATGAAGTTTTAAATTTGGAGCCTGTGCTAGCACTGTATATCTATGCCTTCTTTAACTTCTGTTTCTAACTTTGCTTGCCTTGTTTAATCTATTTGGTGATTAGCCATGTCAGTTCATCAGGCACCAGGACACCTATACATGTGCTCTGACACATTCTGATTAGAACGTGTTGAGTGTTGTAATGTGAACTTTCTAGCGTGCTGCAGCGTCTCATGTATTCAGCATCCCCATGTTTCAAAATGGTGGCGGGGAGCTTTAAAGTTCATTGAAAAAGCTTTAGTTACAGCGCCCCCACTGCCATTTTGAAACACAGGACGCTGAATACACGAGACGCTGTGGGCATTTTAATTAAAGCAGCCTCCAAGAGCCTCTCTAATTTTAAAATGCTCCTCCCCCTTACCCCCTCTATATGCTGGAGCACATGTAAAAACATCTCTAGACTTCCCTATTTCCACTGTCCATGTTCTTCTGTCTAAAAGGTTTACTTGTGGCAAGGCTTATCTGTGCCTAGGAGGATCACATACAAGCAGGGCTAAAAGGTTCCTAAATTTGCTAGAAGTGTTGAGATGCAAGGATTGTGTGCTGCTTTTGATATAGTCTCAATTTTATATTGGCCTATTTTATTGAGCATCGAGTGCAAGGTTTTCATGGTGAATTCTTGGTTCGTATGGAAGTATGCTTTGCTAATATTCTCTGCCTCCAAGAAGTCAGTTTCTTTTGTTTTGAGAAACTAAGTTGAAGTGCTTTGAACATCATAGTCCATGCCAACAACAACTAATCTCGCATTCTGGTTCTACCACTAGCTTAAAATATGATTTTTGGCCAAGTCGCTTAACATCCCTGTGCCTCAATATTCTTCTTTAAAATGAAGATAATGCCTCTCCTGCATGCATGTTGAGGATTATACCTCCCTTGTAAATGTACTGTGAATTAGTTTGTGTGGTGCCCCCAATATGTAAACCCTATTTGTATTAGACACCTGTTATTCTTCCTTGGATGACAGTTTACAGTGCAGCTTTACAAGCTGCAATTTTCTGGATAAGAAGTACATGATTAAAGTTTAAAAACTGTCCTTAACCCTCAAATTTAGTTACCGTGATCTTTGAAAGTTTTATTTGAAGCATATAATTAGAAGAAAGATCAACTTGTATAAAGTAGATAGGGTTTATAACTATGAACAGGGTTTGTATGTTAATAGACTAATTGTCAAAACATTAAAATATGAAAACTGTTGATAAAACTAAACTATTGCAGTACCTCAAGTGATGCTTGTTATCCAGAATTAACAGTTTAAGGGTGTTCTAATGTGGTATCAGTTAAACTAAGTGATCTGGATAAGGAGGGGGATAAGAGAATAACAGCTGTGGTTTGTTTTTCTTTTTTTTAAAGATCTTTTATCCAGAAACTACGGATGTCTACGATAGGAAAAATATACCTAGAATGATATACTGCGTTCATGCACTAAGGTAATTGGTGGTGGAAATGGGGCAGGAGGTGTTTCGAAGACCTAATCATTTAAGCCATTATGGATCCATAGTCTGTCAGTGAATCTTAAGTTTATTAAGATTTTTTTTTTTATGAGAACTATTTTAAAGATCTATTATCTGTTAAGTTCTATGTAATATTTATTTACTTGAGTTTCAGGTCATGAATTTTGAATATACCATGGTTACTCTATCTGTTCTAGTATTAACTGTACAGTATTATGGTGATTGTAATATATGAGGGTAGCAATAGTCTAAAACCATGTTGTTTGCGATTACATTAGACAGCAGAGACCAAAGTGATTTCCTGAAGCTGACACATGGGGCTTTAAATGCTGAACAGTTCATGCAAAATTTTGGGCCAAGTTCCATTCCAGTGATGTCACAATCTTTTATTCAGCTGTTCTGCAGAAAACTCAGTGTATATATTGACAGATTTACATTTGCTGAAATAACTGAAAGTTATTAAGTTGTGGATACAATTATTAAAATATATAGTCTTCATCATTAGATATTTGCCTCAGCTCTGCCTATTGTCTGCAATACCAATGTAATGATTAACATCTTCCCTTCTTGAATGAAACTTTTTCCAACAGTTTGACCTTTGGTTATTCATCTGGTCCAGAAGATGCATGCCAAGGCCTCAGGGCTCATCTGTGTCACTTCTTGGACTTTGCTCTCCGTTTTCGTTCAGTTTCTCTCAAACCCTTCTTGCTGCATCTTGCACCTTTTGTCTTATTTATAATTACACCAGAGATTTTTGCACTCTTAACCAGAAATGAAAGAGTGCTCTGCAGCAGTTCCTTGTCCAGCTCTCCTTTAGGTGCTTCCTGTGCTGCTTAGAATATGTGCCTGATGAATAACTATTGAACTCCGATCTGTCTGTTCTTTCCCTGCCCTTACCTAAAATCTACCATGTAACAGGTGTCTGCTGAAATGATCTTGCAACTTGCACCTAGATGTACAAAAGAAAAAATAACTCAAATGTTTTAAAAAATACGAGGGTACAAAGCTAGCACTCAAGTTAGTTAAGGGTGAAGTGCACACTTTTTTTCCCGGGTTTTCCATATCTTTCCGCTCATAGAGGACTGATGAGATGCAGGAATCTTGGATTCTGTTCTGGTTTCCACAGGGGAATTTATTGTACTTGCTAACCCTTCAGCTCCTTTTTTCAGATTCTTTGCCCAGTCAGTCCTAGTCCAGATAAAAATGCTTCCTCATTTCTTGTCCCAGAACAAGCATAGGGATGGATAATTTAGAGCACAGTGAAGACTATATTCTTTTTCTTGGTATCTGTGGCTGCTGTTACAGCAGCTGGGAACATGAATTACTAGAAGATTCCTGCTTGGCATCTTGCATTTGTGGTGTTGGAATATGCTGAGTGCAAATGAAAGCTGTGGAGAATCTAGCTCTTGGATTCCAGAGTAACTCTGAGCATGTGCCGACTAAGATTTTCACCATCTTGTAGCCTGGCCAAATTGGGCACTTTGTATGAGAACCAAATAATGGCAAATTCTCTCTTCATCCTGTCCCCAGCTAGATGTGAAGGTTCCTACTCCAAAGAGTGGAGGAGTTTACAAACAAAACTACTAGGGAAAAATTTTACATGGAAAGAATGGCCAGTCAATTTTAAGTGAAACTTCTCATGCTAGGTGTTCCTTGGGACTGAATTATTTTTGGAAAGCATCAGCCCAAATGGTTAAAGTTCTACAAAGGCTTAAGCAACTGAAAACCAAGTCTTGCAATGGGAAGTACTCAATTTTTAACTGGAGGTGATGGGCACTATTGGTTTAGCCTATACAGTGGAATACTTTTATCACATATAAAAAAAATGTCTGGGAATATTAATTCTTGGGTTTTAATCTTATTTTGAACAACATGGGGACTGGAGGAGAAGGGGGGGATATGAAGATACTAATGGCCCTAAGCCAATGGTACCTGGTACTGAGAAGTGCAGGAGTTAAAACACTCCAAAGTGAAATGTGGGAGGGGGAGAGAGAACATACTGCAGTATGTAGTTGCATGTGTTGCATTAGCTATGATTGTAAGAAAAATGTATTCAATGCATGCATTCTGAAAAAAATAAACTCAACAACTAGAAAGAAGTGCAGGTACTAAGCTAAAGAGCTGGTTAGGGCTCAAGAGCTCTGGACTGAGTGTTACTGCACTGAAAATAAAGCAAAAAGATGGCTACTTTCACTTTGTTTGCTGGCTTTGGTTTGACCAGCAATGTAATGTAGCAGTGTATACCTTCATTGTTAGATGCATCATCTTCATTTCTAGTGAGGAATAGCTTTATCACCAATTTTTAGTTCCATTCTGAATGTAGCACTTCATATTTTATATTCCTTTCTGTGCATAAACAGCATAAAAGGGCTTAGTAAGTGCAGCCATGAAAATACAGATGTCTTTGTCTGTCTGTCTCTTCGCACCAGTTTTTTTCTAAAAGTTGGTTTGGACTTGTCTGATGGCCTCTTCAGGCTAGGAATAGCTTGACTTGAATTCAAGTGCTTGTGACTCTTGCTGCTTAGGAGTCCCTATAAGTTTTCCTCAGAAATATTTACCCCAGTAAGTCTAGCTGTCTAGCCAAGCCACTCTTGGGTGGTAGAACTTGTTAGCTTAACCTTAACGTTCAAAGGCAAATACAAAATCGCAACAAAGAAGTGCAGAACAAATGTGTACTGCCTTCCAGTGAAAATATTAAAATGCAACAACCTTCTTTTGTATTGGAGTACCTTTTAGTTTTTTATGTAAGAGCCAAATGAAGTGTAAATTCTCAGCACCATCTTGTGGTTAATAAATTTTTATCCAAACTGAAGAGAATAGTGTAGATCACCTCTCATTTTTAAAAAATGTTAAATGGCAGTCTATGTGAGGTTTTAATTTCTTTACATTCAAACCATTAGCTCCTCTATGTATCTACTTCTGGATTTTTGGTGATCACCACTCTTACAATATTTGCTGGGTTAGCAGTGGTTACCATCAATTTTATTCATTTCATGGTATTCAAAGTATGGTTGGCATTTTGCAAGACAAGGCACATTGTAACGTCTTTGATCCAGGAAAATTTCTGTGTCCATTTTCCCTTGAATATTGTAATCTGCATGAAGTTAAAGGGAAAACAGGACTAACAAACTGCACTAGTTTAGGGTTTGTTTTAGGTAGAGGTTGGGGTTTTTTTTTTATATTTAATAGGCCACTGTATGATGGGAACGCTGCTAATCTGGAGAATCTTGAGATAAGTGACAATGGGGTTGGAGGCTTCAAAGAAGAGACAAATTGTCTGTGGTGGTGAAGTGAGGCCCCCTGCCCCACATAATTTAAAATAGAAAATATATTTCTTATGCACTCTGAGGGTTTTTTTATACAGCTTCCTAGTAATTGAAAGAAGACAGATTTTACTTGTGCTGAAATGTGTGGAGAGGTTGAAGGGTTGTCCCTTGCAAATGGCAAAATAACCTTCCCCTATGTTAACAGAACAATGCATTTTGAATTTTAAAAACTTGTTTAAAAACTGGACTGAGCCATACTTCACAAAAATTATCCCAGTCAATTCTGTGTTTCACTAGTAAATTCCAGAAACGCTTGGCTTTTTACAAATAAAGACATGCATATGGTTGGAAGATATAAGTACAATGTGAATTTACTCAGCTGTTATCCAGATGGCAGTGTAGAGCTTTAGAAATAATTAGTATAGGTTTTCATGCTGCAATGAAACAAATACAGGATCCTGGATACCATGCTTATATTGACCTTCTTGCAGTTTTCCCAGAGCAAAAGTGTTTAATGACCTGAAGATGATGATTATAATAATTTGGGGAGGGCTTTTATACACATAAGGAGCAGTGGTTAGCTGTTAGTCTGAAGTCTGGCAGAAGGTGGGGTAGATTTTCACCTTAGACTAACTTAATTTTTAGAATTGTAAACAATAGTTTACATCATTGGGTCCCTTCTCAGCATCTGATACAGTGAGCTGCTGCTTACAGGAGCTTAATCATCTGTGATCTGGTTAGTCTACAAGGTGCAAATCTACCTTACCTTCTGCAATATACATGGCCAGTTGTTTGTATTTAAATGTAGTGTAAATAAGGAGGTATAAGTGGGATGCCAGTCCTGGGCACTGACTGAAGGTGGGGGGGAGTACAGAACTGTTCAGCTATTCATCTGGTGTTTAAGTAAATACTAAATGTATTTGACCTTAGGAAAACCTGAATTGAAACTGTTTTCGTAATTAAGAGTATTCTCTGAGCTATGCCTGAAAAAGATTGCTCTGTCTCCGTAAGTACTGCCCAGGCCATCAAGCCTCAAAAACTAGTCAGATATTTTTTCCATCAGAAAATCTTAATATTGAACAATATTAACCATTTTTATAAAATATAAGGCTTTAAGCTGAACAGTACGTGGTACCCAATTTGTATGTATTGGTTATAAAAACACTTGTCATCTTTCATAATGTTTCGGGTACCGTAGCTGTTGAGTTTTCCTTAAATCCTTGATATAGGAGAGTTTAATTTTGGGTTCATGATTTCCCTTTCCTTATTTCAGTTTAGGCAACAAGTCCCACAGTCGTAACCTCTTTCATATTCATATTATCTAAAAATGTCGGTAGAAAGAAAGCTGTAGGTCAAAATTATTCTGTATTTGTCCATGGAAATTTAATTTAAAGAATGAGTTTGATCTAGTGAGGCAGGTGTTTAATAGAACGTACGTATCTCTATTTTAATATATTTTTCTTCTTTGTAGTTTATACCTGTTCAAACTAGGAATAGCACCACAGATCCAGGATCTACTAGGAAAAGTAGACTTTACAGGTAAAAGTGGTTGTTTATTTTTTAGTTGCACTTGGTTTCTTCTATTACATTGATTTTAAAATCTGCTAATATTTGTTTCTAGCAAGTACTTCTACTCTTCAGTAGAAGTAGATTTTTCTTTTTTCTTCTCCAACCAAATTCTGCATGCATCTTGATCTCAGTGAACATGTCTACATATGCAGTTAATGCAACTGAATGTACTCTGGCTCAATTTGAGCCGGAGTAAACTAATTCCGACATCACTGTCTACACATGCGTTTAAGTGCGGTAGTTTACTGCACTGCTGGATACCGCTTATCTGACGGAATTATCTGGCAGCGCACTAAGTTGGTCTACTGCTCCCTAATTGTCACGCATGTGTAGAGGATGGCACTTTATTGGACAGCAAATCTTAGCTTGTGTAGACGCACCCAGTAGGTGGGATACCACTGTTAATTAATGTTAATCTTTGAAAGATGTAAAGATGTTGGGAGAGAATTTTTGTATAGAATGTGTGCATGCCATCAAAATAGAAAATCTTATAAAAACCTATAATTTAACTAAGGCTTGGTTCTTTAAAGTTAAACTGAAATTATACTTATAATACTTATTTTACTTAACTATCCAAAATGGAAAATCTTAGGACTTTCATTTTTTTTAAGTTTCCATTTCTTCTTTTATTTATTAATTTCCCCCCTGTTCATAGAGGAAGAAATCAGCAACATGCGAAAGGAGCTGGAGAAGTATGGTATACAGATGCCATCTTTTAGTAAAATTGGTGGGATTCTTGCCAGTGAATTATCTGTGGATGAAGCAGCATGTAAGATTTTTTTGTTTTGTGTTTAACTGTTTGCCTCTTAATACCTAGATTTATGGAATACTTGCGAAATGGGTTCATGCTTCTGGCTGTGCTTAACTAAGGTGTAGTAAAGCTTAATTACTTGTAAATCGCTTAAAGGATTTTGAAGTTTTTAAGGGTCAGGTAGTATAATCATGGCAAGCTGTTTTTATTATTTGACTTTAAAGCAAACTGTAAAATTTCCAGACTCTAATTTAAAACACTTTTTCCTACACTTGTTTATGTGGGGTTATCCCTGTGAAGTTTGCATGTTGTAGGTTAAACTTGTATGATTCTGAAAAGATGGCTTTTAAAACATGGTTTATAGGGAGGAAAATGGTATGGTATGCTATCAATTTTGTACATTTTCTGAAGCCCAGTTGCTATCAAACTTTACAGTTGTTTCCTTCCTCTAGAGACACAAAAGGGGCCATAACTTCCTTTCCTAAAAGCTTTTTATAAAGTGTACTGTATACTGTTTCCTCTGAACTTCAGAGGTATTTTTCTTTAACTATAGAAAGTAATCTTTCCTGAAAGTAGTCCTCCCTAGGGTTGAAGCGTGCAGTAGAGCGGCACG